GGCTTTGGCTCAGGCGTCGGAGAAGGAATCCATGCCCTTGCCCAAGCTGGGGAAATAGTGCTGCCGGTAGAGCGAGGAATAGCCGTGCGCGCTCAGATAGGTGCTGGCCTCCTCCCACGCCTTGGCCACCATTTTCTGTCTCACGTCATATGGCTGATCACAACATAACACCACACGCGAATTAGCCATGCGCTGTGTGTGTGTGCGGTGTGTGTGTGCGGTGTGTGTGTGCGGTGTGCGTGCGGTGTGGTGTGTGGAGATCGGGGGGACGAACCTGGAAGTTGTTTTCGAAGGAGCATGAGAGCAGCTTCATGAGCTCGGCGATGGACAGGTTGCACTCGTTGACCAGATCGAAGAGCACCTCGCTCCTGTTCTTGGACGACACCGAGCTCTTGAAGCTGCAGATGGCCACGGGGAGAAGGTTGTCGAGGAACAGCCGGATGGGGTTGCCCGCAAAGGTCCGCACGTCCGAGTTGTAGGTCGACACCATGTCATTCACGTTCACCTCTGCACCAACACGCACTCTACTCTCAGCCACCTCGGCCACCAACGCCACACGCCACACACAAACGCGTGCGCGCGTGCGTGAACAGACGGGTACCAGCGAACGTGCGAACGTCGGAGACGTAGATACTGAACCTGTCCGCCAGTCCGAGCTCGATCGGAATTGAGTGGTTGGCTGGTGGGTCACAGAGAGACGCGTCAGCTACAGTGTCGGGTGTGTATGTGTGGTTGCGAGGGGGGGGCAACAAGAACGCACCGCAGTAGTTCATGAGGTCGGGACTGCGGTGGACCTGATAGGCTCCGCTCACGCGGCACGCGCCGCCTTCGTGGATGGCCTTCACCACATTGGATGGACTGCACGCACGAGGCCCGGGCGTTAACCATGAAGTGCTGGAGAGGGAGGGGGGAAGCAAATGGAGGCCCACGTACTCGGTACGGCCGGCCGAGATGTTGACGTTGGCGTTGTTCCGCTTGAGGTAGTCGAACGTGCCCCGGAAGAACTCGTACTCGGACGCTTGCAGGTCGCCTGTGATCATTTGGATTGGGTTGGATTGGATGAGAAGGGCGAGTGCCACGACACGCGCGGGCGCGTTGTGTGCGTGCCCCGGAGAGGGAGTGGATGGGGAGATTGGGGGGGGGATTGGGCGTACGAGTGCCGAGTACGCCGAAACCGCAGACGCCCTTGCTCTGGGACTGGACGGTGAGCTGGGCGGCCTGCAGGAAGTCGATGGGGTCGTCCTTGGCCAAGCTCGAATAGACCACCAGGCCATACTGCAACGGCTTGCCCTCCTGTCCGCAGTTCAATCGCCGCACGACACGCGCACGACACGACACGCACACAACACACGACACACACGACACACACGACACGACACGCACGACACGTGTGAGCAATTGCAGGCGCGGGCTTAGGGAAAGGGGAGGGGGGGGTCGTCGTACGGCGGCAAGGGAGGCGACGGTGGCGTCGGCGGCCTCCTTCATGTGGTCGATGACCTGCGCGATCGTCATCTCGGCGTGGGTGTGCGCGCGAGGCCTCACCACCAGCTCAATATCTGGTGGTCGCCGTGTGCGCGCGTGCGGTGTGGTGTGGTGTGAGCAGCACTCAGCGCCTTAGGTTAGTTGCGACGTACATCTCACGTTCTCGTCGGCGGCGGCCCGCAGGATATCGTCCGTGGCGCGCTTGATCTGGTCGGGGTGCTGGAGCACCGAGTTGAAGATCCGCTTCACCCGCGTCCAGCTGGCCTCGTCGTGCGTCGGAGACAAGACAATCCGGCGCAAGTCCTGCGCAGTACCAGCGAATTGTTTTCGGCGATCAGGTCGGCCTGAAGCAATCATAATAAATAAATAAATAAATAATAATAATAAAACGTTTCATTTTCTGTACCTCGAGAGAACTGCACGGGAGGCCGAACCTCTGCTTCATATCGATCTTGGCCGCTTGGAGCTCCTGCCACAGCAAGGGAATGCTCACCGATCCATCTGCTCGGCCGACACACGACACACACAGCACACACAGCACGACACACACGACACACACGACACACACGACACACACGACACACACGACACACAACACACACGACACACACGACACACACGACACACACGGCACACACACGCACACATAGAGCGAAAATGATGAGCAATAGGGGATTGGGATGGGTGAGTGCGAGAGAGGGGGAAGCGTCGCTTACCGATGCGGCAGTTGAGGTCGGCCTTGGGGAGGGCGCGCACGATGTCGAGCGTGATGGGCGGGTTGACCCTGCCCGACCAGTAGCCGTGCTGCTTCCTCACGGCGGGCGATTTACTGCGGCGCGGGCGACAAAAAAAGGCGGGAAAGCGTGAGGAGTCCGCCGAGAGACTGTGTCATGGGGAAGAGAGGGGGTACGCACGCGAAATGCGAGAGGTCAACGCCGATCGAGTGCCAGTAGTGCGACGTGCCGATGATGTCGTCGAGATCGTAGCCCTCCTGCGCACGACACATAATGAAGATGTGAGAGAAGGATCTCGAAGCATGAACCAGACCTACGCGTGGAGCGACACAGCAAACACAACGCCTGTTCGGAAACGTACGTCGTGGAGGATCTGGAGGCACGAATGGAGGACCTCGCCACGAAGACGGCGCTTGTGGGTCGCCTGCATGAACGCGGCTGCGCGCGGAGGGGGGGGGACGTCAGCGCTCCGTTTGCTGATGTAGATGTGTTGTTCTGGAGTAGGGAGGGAGAGGAAGGGGGGGGGATCATGGCGGCCATACCAGAGAAGCCGTAGTCGATGAGGCGCAGCATCTCTTCGACGTTGAACTTGTGCGTCTTCTGGAAGAGGGCGTACTCGCCCGTGAGCGTGCAGTTGCTCATCGTCTGTGGAATGCGCGGCACGTTGTTGCTTCGGTGAGTGCTATGTAGAGCTCTGAGAAGCCCAAAGGGCGGAGAGAGAGAATCGCACCTTGTTGTCGGTGCAGGGCACCACAATGGCGCCGGCATCAAAGTACTGACGGATGGGGTGGTCCTCAAGAGTCTTGATGGCCCGCGTCTGGATGTTGGACGTGATGCAGCACTGAAAGCGCATGGGTTTGTAAGTGAACACGGC